ATCGAAGTTGATCAACATTTTGTGCGAGAAAGGGTCACATCACAAGAAGTGTGTCTTCCGTACATCACATCTAATATGCAGCTCGCGGATATCCTCACCAAGGTTGTACCAAGGAAGAAGTTAGAGACAGACCTATCCAAGTTGGGAGTGTAGAGAACATTGATGTGGGCCCCACTACAGTGGTCCCCACTATGTTCGTAGGACAGCATGTGTAGTTATTTGTTTCAGTTATAGTAGTGTCAGTTTGAGTCAGTTTGTTAATTCAGTTGTTATTTATTTCAGCTTTATTTACTTTATTTATTATGTAAGTACTAAGGGCAGATGTGTCATTTCCATTGTGTACTAAGCATAACCTATAAATAATAAGAAAGTGGTGGCGGCAGTTCGGTTAGAATCTGTTCCTCCTTTCAACCACTTGTGTTCTCCTGTTCCTCTTCTATTCTCTCTTCTTTCTCTCACTTTTCTTCTATTTTGTGAACCTAAAACCTATTAGGATTCAAGACTGATTACAGTCTTGATCTTTTACTCAATGCTTCCACTATGTCTATAATTTTTACAATATTTCTGACTTTTCCGACATGTTTCTTGTATTTGGATGGCTGACATTTCAAACCTTGGGCGCACCTTTTAAATCATTGACCAAGGCTGCATTTATTTGGGTAATGCAAGAGATTTCAATGAACGGGAAACAAGCAAAAAGGTCACCGAGTATAGAGAATGGATCCCACCAGAAACAGGGTTCATTAGGCTTAACTTTGATGGAAGTAGTAAAGGGAATCCAGCCATCAGGAGTGGAAAGTGTTTTCAAGAATGAAAATGGAAATGTCATAGCTCTATTCCCAAGCCCAATTGGGATAGGAGATTCATCAAGGGCTGAGATTATGGTTGTAATGGAAGGAGTGCAATGGGTGAGAAATATGAATTTGATGAACTTAGTGATTGAAGGTGACTCACATCTGGTGACAGGATGGTTGCAACATAGAGAAACCGTCTTACGGCAATAAAGAAATGAATTTAAAAAAAAAAAAATCAGATGGCTTGACTCGAGACATTAAAGTGAATCATATGGGTGTCGAGGGCTGCCAACAGCATGACAGATGAACTAGCAAGACAATGGGTGTAGGGACTTCAAGTATTTTGGGCACAATTTTAAATAAAAAGAAAGAGGAGAGGTAGTAGTTTCTACCCCTCCAAAGGGTCTTTAAAATACATATTTGTTATGTTTCATAATTAATAAAAATGAATGGTTATATCAAAAAGAGGGCATCCAAGTGAAAGTCGTGTATTGGATCAAAGCATTAAAGATGTTTGAACCTTTTACTATTGAAGGCATACTCAGAGGGTTGAATTTGGTGGTGGCTGTTTCTTCCCATAGGGCTGCTGTCTCCTTGCCTTGGGCCCCACAAAATGAAGGCTTGGTAAATTTAAACTTTAATTAGATGCAGATTGGGTAACCATTGAGAATAAGGAGTCTTCAGAGATCATAATGTACAAATCTCTGATCAAATCCTTTCAGAATCATCCATAGAACAATGGTTTAAGGTCACTATAGTAGATATTAGAGGAATAATATTTGGCTTGCAGGCCATGATGTCATGACCAGAGGTAAAGCATGCCACGATCAACCAAGCCAACAGCTCATATTCCCCACCTAATATAATTTGCTAATCCACCAGGTGAATAGCATTGATGCCTTTGTCCCCTAATCACAGATTTCAACAAACAGAGGATTGAAGTGAAAGAATCCTCTTTAAAACAATTCTTGAATGTCCATTTTGGTAAAAAGTCATGATGCATTATCAAGGAAACAAAGATAAAGAATAAAAAACAATAGCATTCTAGTTTCAGAAAGTTACAATGCATTATCTGGAAATTAGTTCTTATTTCCAAATTACCTAAATACAGTGAAATTTATCATATAATTTCTGATTATTTCAAAATGCACCAGGTATCAGAATGACAAATGTCAAATAGTTCACAACTCATAGTACCTACTATTGTATTTCTCACAGTTTCCAGCACTGTGTATCCACAATAGAAAAGTTTGATCTATGTCTACAGAAGAAACTAACAAGTACCCTGACAACATTATCCAGATTCACACAGTGTTAACAGCAGGATCAGAAGTGGAGACCACAAGCACTTTAAGATAAGGACATGCAATTTATTAAATCAGTTCTATGTAAGAAAACCATTGAGTATGGGCACTAAATGAAGATTTTATGTTTAAATAGAATTTCCAATCTTTCATGCATGTATAAACCCAAACCTCAGATAGTAGATAGTAAATCATCTTTAGAGAGAAGTTATGATGTATTACAATAACAAATTTCAAAGTTCAAGGTGTGTGAATTCATCTATGCAGAGCAACAAAATCTAAGTCCGAACAGTTACTAGACAGTCCAGCCGTCCAAGAGATCAGGTATCCTATATCATGCTTCTACATATGGAATATGGGAAACAAATAGTGAATTAGTTTATACACTATTCAAATAAAATCTAAACAAAGGAATGCAAGGATCTTTGAAAACAAAGAACAAAATGTGCATGACCTGATAGAACTCACACACATTTTGACATATGCGCTTAAGCAGTCCAGGAGCATCTGGTATAGGAGGGGTGATCATACATGATAGAGGCAACTTCATTCTTAGCTTCTGAGGACCTGCTGGGGTTGGAAATGCTTGACATCAAAATTAATGATTCAGCTACAAAGATTGAAACTTGTCTCTTTAACTGGAAGGACAGGAATACAAGTGGAAGGGGATTGTCAAGTTAAGCAGATGACATCTGACCAAGAAGTACCTTGGGTTCTAAGGTTTCTGGTAAGGGAACAAGGGCAGTAAATGCTAAACTGAACTGCTCATTCAGGTAGATCCCAAGATTGGCAAATGGCTTGGCTGATAGTTTGGCTAAGGCTGGAGTCACTAGAGCGAATCTGGTGGTGGGACAGTGTGAAGGACTTCCTTTTATTTGTATAGGAGTGATCAGCTGCTTGCTGATTTTGTATCTTACCATCCACTGTTGTAAATAGGGGAAATTGGTAGAACTGTTAATGGATCAGGTCTGGATCAGGACAGGGTGGACCAGTCCCAAACCAATTTTTAATCGGTTCTCTATGGCAAACCCAGAATCAAACCAATTATTAATGGGGATAATCATCAGACCAGACTACACTTGGCATCTATAGTTGCCTATGATAATAACAACTTAGAACTTCATTTTGATATAACCTTAATAAAAAGTGAGAGTAAAGTAAGTTGCTTAGTATGTTGCTAAAATAAGTGTTTTTAACTAAAAATGTTGTTTACACTGTCTATGAATTTTACCCTTCTACACACAAAATATAACATAAATTACAAGAAAACCATGGGGCCTTTATGTATTCTTGACTATATAATCAGTACAGCTCTGCCAAGTAGACATGACCCATTGACAACTCTAGGAATTGGTTTTGAATTGAATGAAATACCTTTACCATTGACTATCAAAACATGAGATAAAATCTAAATAAAACAATACATCCAAACCATAAGCCTTAGCAGTGAACAAATTGATGAAACTCAACTACATGGAATGTACATATCTTACTAAAGCTGCATACCTCCATGATCTGGAAACTTTTTTAATATAGCATCTGCAGCTTTCAGTCCCTTCTTGTATTGTTTAGTTTCATATGATTTCTGCAATTGTTAAAATATGTGAGAAGGATGTTCCAATAGATATTGATCTATCTGAAGATTTGGGTTTAGCTACTACACTCAATGCATGTCTTCTTTCTAGAAAAATGAATTATTTTTATTGGAAAAGCCACCACCCACCACTATATTCATGTGTGTGCTCTTGGTAAGACCCAGACCCGGTGCTATACAAATATTTCAACTCCAAGCAATACATAAAAAAGAATTCTGGAGCTTGTATATGGACAAAAAATTAGCAGCCAATAGCCAGGCAAGGAGGAGGAGGAGGAGGAGATGAAGATCATAGATGCATATTGATGCCCATGAATAACCATTGATGCACCTGCTTTGTTTTTAACCCATTCACTGTGAATGGTTTAAAATTAACTACATCCATTTAATTTTGATGTGTTGTCACAACAATAACCAAATGAGACATTTAGTTTTGAGTACAGATTGTAGCAAACTGTAATTATACCAGTTAAGTAGAGATCAAAAAACTAATATACATGCACACATATACATATATTGGTAGATACAAATATACATAAATATAAGCATGGTTTAAAATGTCCATACATTTCCTAATATTTTGACAACATATTTCCATTTCCACGGGCACCAACACACAAAATTACTTGAATAGACATAATACCCAATGAAAACTACCAGTGTCATATGGGGCACAAGAAATAGTATAATATTTTAAATGTGGATTAGCAGTGTTATTGATCACCTAATGGACATTATTACCACCTTGAGCTAGCTAAAAATTCTGTTCAAACATGAAATTAAATCTTACTTTTCATTGTATGATAAATGACTTGGTTGATCTATTAGAATCATTTGCAATTTCTATGAGTTTAAATTTTGCTTGAGTTCACTTTATCACGTAGTTTTAACTCTTAAAGTTTAGAAGACAACATCATAGCATATTTTCTTACCTATTAAGTAAGAATGACATCTATGTAACAAATTATTTTGCTCTTGTATACTTCACAACAAGTAGAAGAAAACTTAAAATAATCACCAACAACTGGGCAGATTGGCTTTGAACAACCGAGGCTAAAGATGGTTTTCCTTTTAGGTTGGAGTAGCATGGTGATTGAAAGGAACTGCCAAGTGCCAAGTGGTGATAAATTTGAAGTCTTCAACTGAGGAAGGTGAATGCACCCTCAGAATTTTGCTTGTATGCAAAGGCTTTATCTTCCATCATGAGCACCTTGTTCTGGAATCCTAGATTGGCTAATGCCTCATCCAAATAAGTTGTTAGATGAGTGGTCGGAAGATGAAACCTTGTATTGGAAGAAGGAATGGGGGAATGTTATCAAAGTGTCGACTCTCAACTAGCCATTGATTAATCAACCGTCTAATAATTTGAGGACCAGATCAACTACATCACTGATTAGTTGGTCAGTATTCATTATGTGGCTACCTAGGAGCTAGGACAACTAAGCATCAACTAGGCCAACTAATCAATTAATAACTAACCACCCTAGTTAACCACAAATCCATTTTAATGCTTCATGTTTTTGTTAGTATCTCTAATTATTTGAAATAATACCAAATGTGTTTGCATTTTGTTATATTCATACTATTGCTTTAATACTTGTGAAGAACATGAGTGATGGTGGTATATAAAATAGAAAAAAAAAAAGACACAAAAAAAAGGTAGTGGAGTTCTTTCAAGTTTTCTTGCAATTATTAGTGTACTGGTAATGGTATGGAGTTGCCACAAACAAAGGGCATATCAATTAGTCAAGGCTGCAGACTTTCTTTGGAGAATAAAGGCCGTAATTCCTTTTTTTATCAGCATAAAAGCTGTAATTCCTTTCCTAGAATATCCAGCCTCACTTCTTTTATGCTTGCAAAACAAAGACCGTAAGCTAAATGTCAAATATCATTCCATCCTTCCATAATTGTAGTTTACATTAAACTATTTACAAGGTTGTGACAACATCTTAAATTTAGAACATATCTTTTCTTTCAAAAACTAGTCAGCACCTAGGCATTAATTAGATAGGCCAAAACAATTAATCATCACCTCAACATTGATAAAACTGGTTAGCATAACTTATAGAATTATTTCCTTCGTTTGTCCATTTTCATGAAGTATTGTATTTAGGGCTGCAACTTGGGTGGGCGGTGACTTATCAAAAAAAAAAAACACAACTTGGGTGGACGGTGGGCCTTGGTTGAACAATTGTTAAATTCTGAAGGGGCCCAAGCCAGATGCAGTGGAAAGTCTTTAAGTCAGGTGCCCAATTTGCACCCGAATTGTATTTTACATTGTTATGTTCCACGCTACTAGAGTTTCAATTTAGTATCCCTTTTCATTTTATCATTGATAGATGCATTTCTGATTGTATAAAAAAACTATCAAACAACCATGAGAGGAATAATTGCAGCATTATAAAGCTCAAGGATGACAGAAATGGTTGAACATGTAATGAAAAAACCACGGATCACTGTATATTAATTTAGCTGAAATCATTATGCATGGTCCGGATAAGCAGCAGCATGAGAGAGAGAGAGATGGGTATTAATCAGTTACTTAAACCCAGGCGAACAGAATGCGTTGCAATTACAAGTTACCTTCCTAAACAAGGATGTTGACTGATTAAACAACACAAGGAAAATTTTGATCATTAAAGAAAATAAGTCAAGACCAGAGTTTTGAGCTTTTGAAAAAGATGAAACACCGAACGAGCTATGACTAGAAGAATTAATTTTTAATTTAGAGTTTTAGACAATGTCAAAGAACGAGTAATCAGTATAACATATTTGGATCAATCTAAGTGATCAGTGAGAGCGCATAAGTTTCCATCGAAAAGTTAATCGGATATGGCAATCCAATATTCCAGAACCCAAAGGCGACGTGCAATAAGAAATCAAAGACATTTTACAACCATCTTAGCAGTCATAAGACTTGAACGAAACAATTCAGAGTTCGGACACAACAAGCAGGGAAAAAAAACCGAATCAGAGATTCAAGGAAATGTATGAGCTAAAGAACCTAAAGAAACTAGGGTTTTAGCGGGAAGAGAACTTGGAAAGATTACGAAAACATGAAAAAGAGAGAGAGAGAGCCAGAGAATAAAAATTATAAGGAACTAGGATCCCTGATGATTGTTACCACAAAACAAGTGAAGAAGACAAATGAAGAGGAGAAGAACTTACGACAATGAGCTTGAAGAGGTTAGCCTCTTTTGGAGGGAGAGAAGCCCCCATTGTTTCGATGCAGAGAGATGAAGAGGAGCGCAGGATAAGGTTGCGTGTGCACAGGTTATGGCTGCGCAACCGGAGGCGAGGTGGTGTTTTATAAGCTGCAACCCTACCCCCAACAGCAGGTAGAGTAGTGAACCAAAACGAGAAGAAATGTGTAAACCAAAACAAATTACTCGTTTTTAGGCTACTCCGAATAAAACGAGGCCTGCGGTGCACTGGGGTGGGGAGTATGCGCAATTTCCAAAATTCTTAGCAACCCCCTTTAATTCTTATAATTTACATGCATACCCCTAGTTGATGAGTTGATGTCAGTAATTTAACTTAAGTAGCATCCCATCCCGGGTGAAGGCAGGTATCAATACCGCGAGACCGGATCTACTACTCACACCTGGCGCCTCACAGACGCCTCACACGCACATCCTATCATTTGGAACATCTCCCGTACTTATTAGTTATTATTTATGGGAGATGTT